GCTCAAAGAGTATGCCTGCTATAGGTCACTGACCCTGTCGGGTTGCTAACATGATCTGCGGGCCCCAGCAAGGAGGCTCCCGTCTTGGACTTCCTCGCAATTCACTAACGCACGAGTCTCCCGCATCATTATCCTTTCTCCATCCTCAAGCCTGAAGAGGCTTAATATGGCGAGTCCCGATGACCCACTCGGACTGCTACCATGATCGGCGGGCCCCGTTGGGAAGGGGCTCCCGCCTGAGACTTCCTCTCAATTTGCTCACAGACGCGGCTCCCGCGTAAGACTTTCTCCATACTCAAGCCTGAAGAAGCCAAAAGTGACGACGGTTGCAGGATCCCGATGACGTTCTCGGATTAATAGCACGATCTGCGGGCAGCATAGAGAGACTGCTCCCGCCTGAGACGCCCGCGCAATTCACTCAAAAACAAGGCTCCCGCCTGGGACTTCCTCCACACGCAAGCTCGAAGATGCCAAGAGTGACGACCGTCATAAGATTCCGATGGCCCGCTCGGATGAATGACAAGAGCTGTGTGCCCTGAAAAGACGGGGCTCCCGTCTCAGACTTCCGCGCGATTTACTCACAAACGAGTCTCCCGCTAGAGAGTTCCTGACGATGAATGTGTGTGAGTGTGTGGATGAATGCGACAGCATGGTGTGGTGATAAGGATGATGAATATGGCATGATGGTGAATGAGTGATGGGCGAATGTAAGTGAGCGAGTGTGGCTGACGATGATGATGATGATCGTGATGGTGGTGGTTATGATGATGACGATGATGATGATGATGATGATGATGATGATGATGGTGATGGCGAATGTGATGGTGGTGATGATGATGGTGATGCTGATGTTGATGTTGATGGTGATGATGATCGTACTGATGCTGATGATGTTAAGGATGGTGATGATGATGATGATGATGATGATGATGATGGTGATGACGATGACAATGTCGATGATGATGCTGCTGTCGATGATGCACATGGTGAAAATGATAAATATGATAATGATGATGATGCTGATGATGATGATTATGCTGATGATTATGCAACTGATGATGATGATGATGATGATGATGATGATGATGATGATGATGATGATGATGATGATGATGACAATGATGGTGATGAGTGTGTAGGTGTGTGAATGCATGAGTGCGTGAGTGTGTCAATGCGGAGGGGGAGAGGCGAAGGCGGAGATCCTGCGCGGAGGGTGTGTAGATAAATCAAGAACACCATTGTGGATGGGGTAAAAGCATAACCATTCTAGACCCTCCTGCACTTCTGCGCAAGCTTCTAAAACCTTCCTCCTTCTCCTCCTCCTCCTCCTCCTCCTCCTCTCGCATCCCCCTCCTCTACTTCCGCAGACGACGTCCGACGTCGTCAGAAACAGGAACGTCGCGAGAAAACCACGACCTGTACCTCACACACCCATCACATGAGAATCTCTGAGATCCGGCGGCTCTGGAGAATGTATCGGGCGCCGTGGCCTTCTCAGATAATTCCGGAACGCTCTGAACGGATTGATCCCCGTACTAGCCACGCCCGATCTAAACTGGTTGAGGCTCCAAAGAATCCTCTCCAAATCGATCCCCGAACCCCTCCGTGGGTCCACCCGGTGCAGCTTCTCGCCGTGGATCCTTTCTTCACGGCTCCGGGGCCCGAAAACTGCCCCCGGAGGCTGGAAAAGGCAAGCCACCTGTCCGACCCCGGGAAACTCCAAAGCTGCCCGCCCCCCCTTGCTGGCCGGAACCAACGCTGGGCCGCCGCAGACGCCCCGACGAACAAATCCCGCCCGAGTGCGCCCGCGGCCATCTGGTCACGGCGCCCAGGGGATGGGGGATGTCCTGGCCCGGGTCCATCTAGGAGGAGGGAGGAGGAGGGAGGAGGAGGGAGGAGGAGGTAGGAGGAGGGAGGAGGAGGGAGGAGGAGGGAGTCAGGCCCTGCAGGATCCTGCAGGATCCTGCGCCCAAGCCCGGGGCAGTGCGCTCGTGGCCCCGCAGGATCCTGCAGGAGCCGGCGCTCTGACTGACCCCCGCGCGCATGGACCCCCGCCTCCTGGATGCCCTGAGGGGCCCGGAGGAGGAGGAGGAGGAGGAGGAGGAGGAGGAGGAGGAGGGCTCACAAAAAGGCGGGGCGCGGCGGCCGGAGAGCAGCACGACGTTTTGGAGGCCTCGCTGCGCCTCCCTCCTCCCCTTGTCTGAAAAGGGCCCACGCGGCCGCTTCGGCGCGCGATGCCTCGGCGCGCACCCGGCCGGAGGGCTCCAAAGGGCGGGGCGCGGGGGCCGGAGAGCAGCACGACGTCCTGGAGGCCTCGCTGCGCCTCCCTCCTCCCCTTGTCTGAAAGGGGCCCACGCGGCCGCTTCGGCGCGATGCCTCGGCGCGCACCCCTGGAGGGCTCCAAACGGCGGGGCGCGGCTGCCGGAGAGCAGCACGACGTTCTGGAGACCTCGCTGCGTCTCCCTCCTCCCCTTGTCTGAAAAGGGCCCTGGGACACACAAATAAATATACGCAAATATCAGGGGGACGTAAGACCTGGGCACAGGGGACTCGGAAATCCCCGACGAGGTCGTCAAAAAAAAGACGAGGCCGAGCCTGCATTTTGACGAGGCCTCCCGCTGCAGACATCCCACGAAACTCCTCCTCGTCAAAATCCGAGGCGCGGTCGTCAAAAGACGATGGCGAACCCGAGTCCTGGCAAACCCGGGTCTTACGCTCCCCCGAAAATAGCAGGATTCCCCGTACTTTCATATGTTTTCTGGGTATTTGTCTTCCCCCACACTTCCCATAGTTTCCGACCTTTTCTGGGGAATCGACGACTACTTGTGTCTGTGTGTGGTTCGTTCCCTCCTGATTTTTGGCACTGTCCGTTCGCTGGTCGGTGGCTCTTCGGGCTGGTGACTTGCGAGCTCGAGCTTCCACCGAACCGCGCAGGGAAGCGAGAGGCAGCTACACGTCGTCCATTTCGAATCGTGCTCATCTCTAATCGTGATCGTTTCTAATTGTTCCTGGCCCCCTAGTGGCCAGGAAGAGGCCCAGGGTAGAATAATTAGAAATGAAAGGATCTTGCCCCCCCGAAAAATAAAAGACCTTTCGAATACTTAGAGATGAACAATGTGCACTTTATGGAACCAGCCACCACATGCTGAGGACAAATGCCCTTAATTCTCCCTCCAGAGCTCCGATCTATGGACTTGTTCGAGTCGCAGGCCCTGTGGCGCTCTCGACCCTTTCTGTGTGACAAACTTTTCAACTCGAGTTGTTCTTGACGGTCCCCTGGACCAAACGACGGCCCCCAGACGCCATGAATGATGACACATCTCTGGAAGGGCCCCAGGACACACAAGCACATACACACAAATAAAAGGCTTCCCCATATCTTCCCAGATTTTCTGGGTCTCTGTCCTCCCTCCCACTTCCCACATTTTCCCCACATGTTCTGGGGAAGAATCGACGATGCATTGTGTCTGCGTGTTTTTGTCCCTCCTGGATCTCTTGCGACTTCTTGTTACGAATCGCTGGAGGTCCGGGCTCCCCCTCCCGCCTCCGAGCCGACCTCCCGGCCTGCCCTGGCGTGCGCTCTGGGCAGCACTCCGCTGCGGACACTGCCGTGGAGACGAGGGCGATCCCAGGGGTGCGCAAGAAGGCACACGAACACACAAGATCATGCACGTGCACAGCCCAGAGCCTCGATCCGTGATCCTCCCTCCTCCTTCGGCCCTGGGTCTCTGGGGGTCTCTCGGGCTCTCTGGGGCTATCCCGAGGTCCCGGAGGTCATCGAAGGCCCCCGTGAAGACCCTCGGAGGCCCCAGAATGACCATGAACGCCAAAAAGCCTGCCTCCTGGTACTCCTCCTCTGCCTCCTCTTCCTCCTCCCCCCTCTCAGTAAATCAACGCCAGCGGTGTCTCTGGGAAGGACTCCAGCACTTCTTTTGGCCTGGCCAAGGAGTTTCCCCGACTTTGAGTGGCACACCAGGGTCGTGCACTGGGCCGCTGGCCCTGCAAACGGGGTTAAGGCGCCCCCAGTGCTAGATCACTTCAAGCCCTGTTCCTCCCTGCCTCCCTCCCTTCCCTCGCTTCCTCCATCTAACAAACCCATCGTTCTCCCTCCCTGCCTCCGTCCCTCCTCCACCTTTCCTCCTCCGCCCCCTTTTCCGCCCATGTTCCTCCTCCTCCTCCTCTTCCTCCTCCTCCTCCTCATCCTTCATCGATCTCTGCCTTATCATCTCAGCATGTGTTGAACGACTCTCGGCATCGATATACCAGGCGCTTCGGAACAGCCTCTAAAGGTAAGGCCACCGAATGGTGGAACTCTGAGTGCTTCCAGCACGACTATAAAGATGATTCGTTCGCGGCCATTCCTGTGGGGAGGGCGGCTACATATTGCTGGTGGGGTGGTTGAGGGCACACGTCAGATGCGTCTCTCTCGGTCTCGGAACGTTTGGTTTCTATGTAGTGTGGGTATTACGCTCACGCTCAATTGAGCGAGCTTGGTAAAACCTGTCTTTGGAAGGTTGATCCTCATAGGAGAGAACATCTCACTAGATTGGAGGCTGGCAAGTGGCCCGACCAGCTTGGCAAGCCTGAGCAGCTTCACCGCTCATGATTATTCTGCGAACGCTGCGTGAGACAGCTCGTACTTACTCCTGCTCCCCCGTCCCCACCCCACCCCTCGCCTCCTCCTCCCTCCTCCAACTACCTCGTCCTCCCGCCGCCGCGACCAAACCCCCCTTTGGACGCTTGACATGGGTACGGAAGGAATGGGTACGATGCCCAACCACAAGTGTTGCCCAAAACCGAAAGCGGCCGCTATCGGGCAGGCGGCCTTCTGTTGCAAATTAACAAAATCCGCCGCGAAGCCGACAGCGAGTCCTGTTCAGAGTGAACAGCAACTGCTGTTGGGCTCTGTGCCAATTGTTGCCGTGCCCATTTCGGTCCCCGCGACCCCCGCCCGGCTGGCCGGCTGGCCGCCGCGCCCTGCCGGCCCGCAGCGGCAAGGCCTCGGGGAGGCCGTTGTTCGCGAGGATGACCTCGTCGATGGAGGACGTGAGCTGCTGGGGGTTCCAGAGGGAGCGCTTGTGCTCCTGGGGCGGCCCTGACTCCGGATCCGCCCTACTTTGGCTTTTTTGTCCAACTTAAAATTGCGTCGGAAATCCACCTATAAGAGGCCGAAAAAGTAGAGCGGAAATTGCTGCACCCAACATAAAATAGGGCGGACATCCACAGAAGCGGCAACAGAAAAGTAGGGCGGAAATTGGCATCAGCGGGGCTTGAAAAGTAAGGCGGAAATTCCAAGCCCCACTTACGAATTTCCCCCAAGTAGGGCGGATCCGGAGTCAGGGGGGGGGGGTCGCAGGGTCGAGGGTCGAGGCTTCGGGTCGCCAAGAGACACCCTGCTCGCCTCCAGGGTGCCCTGGGCTTCTTGGGCTTCGATGGCCTTGCGATGGAGGGCGTCGCGTTCCCGCATCAAGCATCCGTGGAGGTTCTGGGGTCTCGGGGTTGGGCTCCTTGTGGAGGGTGCCCTGTGGTCGGGCCCCTGCTGAAGTTGGACAGGGGCGGGACCTTCGGGGGCCGGGGGGTCGCAGGATCGGGGGTCGCAGGATCGAGGGTCGAAGTTAGACGCCGGCGACCGCAAGCCACCCTGAGGTTGCCCTTCTCGAGCCTGGCTGCGCTGTGATCGCCACCCGGAGCCTCCAGCCGCGCGGCCTGTACTCGGCGCCACGGCCTCACCACATGCGAAACACGGCTGTTGACGACGGTCCCCTCGAGGGTCAAGGCTTCGGGAGATGCTCGCATCTTTTTCGGCCGCCTGGGGTTGCAGAGAGAGGGAACGGTTGAGCTCCTGGGGCGGGGGGATGAATTCCGTGTCCTCAACGCGTTGGAGCTGAACGTTGCCGACTTCCTAACTGAGGTGAAGGGGGGCTCCGCCATGCAAGACATCGGCAATGAGGAAGAACGGGAAGGATGAGCAGGAAAGCCGACGCGCCAAGCAAATGTTTTTGTCACTTGTGGGACGCCAGAGGCCGATAACTCCAGCGGATTAATTCGTCTTCTCACCTTCAACTTACAGAGACGTCTACGCGCTGTGGGCGCGTGGGCCCTATCGGGTGGAACGCTGATGTGTGGGGCCCCATCGGGGGACAAGATCGGCCGACATTCCTCCTGGTGCCCAAGGCCAACGTATCGCAGCAAGAGAAGGAGCCCATTAAGGGACCGTATTGCCAAGCATCGAGCACCGCGGAAGTTTCCAGTGCATCAAGCGAATTCATCACAACGTAAGCTATCACCTCTTAGTTCAGTCAATGCTCAGGAACCTCTGATAACGTTGGAAGCCCTCCAGTAACCAACGAACACCTTACACATCTTCCGCCTCTCTCTTCCTCCTCTTATGCACTACTCCGTTATGACTTATCTGACTCGATCGCGACCCTCAAGCCACCTGGCAACCCACGCCGAGAAGCGGGCGGCAGTTTCGTGAGAGACCCCAGGCGGCCTTCTGGAAGCGCTCGGTCAGGGCGTGCACCTGGCAAGGGAAAGGAAGATGTGGGTAGAGGAACACCCCAAAACTGTGCAAACATGAACTTTCGGAGCTCCGCGCGGACCAGACGTGGGCTGGGTCAGCCACTGGCGGGGGTCACCCTCCGGCTGGACTGCAATCTTGAATTGGCGCTGGGTCAGCCACTGGCGGCGCCAGACGTGAAACCAGGGGGTCCAGCGACGCTCCAAGAAATCAGCGCGGAGTTCCGAACGTGTATGTTCATGCAGCTTCTTCTTTAGAGGCCTCCTAGATGGGGCCCGTGTACATGGGGTCGTAACATCGCACCGCATCGCCAGTGCATCGCCAGTGTATCGGCGATGCATCGGCGATGCATCGGAGACACCGGCGTGGGGAAACACGGGCCCCACATCGAGGCGCAGCGTCGATGCAACGGCAATGCGGCGCGGTCCTCCGACCCCATCTGCTCGGACCTTACTTAGGAGGCCTAGCTTCTTCTGATTCTTCTTCTTCTTCTCCGAGAGGTGGGGCCTCGAGGCGGGAAGGCCTTTTTCGCCTCCCGTGATGTCCTGGCGTCGCAACTTATTTTTCGCACGGGCGTCTGTGCCCTGCCTCGGGGACCGGGGCCCTCCTGGATCGATGCAGCTCGCAAAGGCGCAGCAGGAACCCCGGGCCCAGGGCACTGGGCGAATTTTGCACGATGCTACGACCCCCCATTAGCACTCTGGGCGTAGGCGGTCTAGGGAGGCTCCTCTTCTAACCCCCTTCGTCCCCTTTGGGGAGGGGTTGATCACTGTTCCCTATTAATATACACCCCCTCCCCCAGGCGACTGGGAGCCAACCAGGGACAATGAGGGCACCCCCCCACCATCCCTTAACAAAAACAATACAAAAACACACTCTGCCTCCAAATTCGGAGCATGCGCAGCGAACCCGATGCGGCCTCCCTCCACCATCCCTGTCAACAAAAAAAAAAAAACAATACAGAGTACACTTGGCGGCGGCGGTGGCGGCGGCTGCGGCGGCTGCGGCGGGGGCAGCGGCTGCGGCGGCTGCGGCGGTGGCGGCGGCGGTGGCGGCGGCGGCGGCGGGGGCGGCGGCGGTGGCCGCGGCAGCGGCGGCGGTGGCGGCGGCGGCGGCAGCGGTGGCGGCAGTGGCTGCGGCGGCAGCGGCTGCGGCGGCGGCGATTCGGCAGCGAGGGCGACGGCCGCGGCGGCGGCGGCGGGCGGCGCGACGGCGGCGGCGGACGGCAGCGGCGGGCGGCGCGGCGGCGGCGGCGGACAGCGGCGGCGGCGGCGGCGGCGCGGTGGCGGCGGCGGCGGCGGGCGGCGGCGGCGGACGGCGAAGGGGGCGGCGGCGGATTCGCCCCCAGTAGCTGCCCATCCAAAGACGACTGCTGAATATACTGCGGCTCGGGCCAGGCTCGGGTGCTACGTATGTGTTGGGAGGGCGGGTGGGAGTGAGCGAGACGGCTTGCGGGCGGGGAGGGAGTCTTGACCCCTGCCCCTGCCCCCTCCCCTGGAACTGGCGTCGAACAAATATCTTGACGCGAAGTGTCAAGATATTTGTCCGCGAGGTCGGATCTCGGGGGAGAACGACCTGCTTCCGCCAGCTTCTGCGGGCCTCCCGCCGGCCCTCCCGGCCTCGAGGGGGGGTCCAGCCTTCTGCGCTGCCTCGGAGCGGTGAGGCCCTCTTGCTCATCTCTTTGGATCGTACCCGGCGCCGGGGCCGAAGTCGGCCCGCTCCTGCCTGCCTCCGCGGGCCTCCCGCCGAGGGTCCCCCGCCGAAGGTGGCAGGAGCCCAGCCGTTGCCACCTCGGAGCGGGGAGGCCCTCTGCGCACTTCTCTGGAGGAGTCCCGGGCGTTGGCCGAGGCCAGCGGGGCCGGGGTGCCCTGAGCTCCTGGGGTCACATCCTACAATCAAAAACCCTAATAAGGAAGCGCGGTAAGGACGCAAGACCCTTGGAAGCCGAAGTTGGGATTTCTGGGGCGGCGGACGACGAACATCTCAAGGACGCAAGGGCAAGGAAGAGCAAGGGCGAAAGGGTACCCTGCGCAAAGTCGTGCGTCCTTACTCGGGTTTTTGACTGTATTCTCAGCTTGCGATTGTGCCCTTTCTCGGGCCCCAGGGCCCTCACGGATCGCTCTGGCTCGCGACGTGCCGCAGACAGACGAGGCCCAGGGATCCAGTCTCGATCTGCATCTCGATGTTTCAGTGTTTTGCTGTGGCGTCGGAGATCTCAGGGGATGTCGACAGGCTTCCGCCAGCTTCCGCGGGACTTCAGTCGCGCCCTCACCGAGGGAAAGGGGTCCAGGCGTCTTCGCTGCCTCGGAGCGGGGAGGTCCATTGTTCATCTCTCTGGACTGTCGCGGGTGATGGCTTTGGCCGCGTGTTGCTGGTCTTATGTGCGCTGACGGAGCGCCTCGATGCTCTGATCGGCTCGCCGCGTTGCCCCTCAGTGGTTCTCCTTGAACTTGTGGACGACGGTCTTCTCCTGGACGGCGCGGTTGGTGTTGTTCCTGAGCTGGTAGAGGCCGGAGCCCTGTGGATGCTCCATCAGGTGGTGGGTCGTGACCTCGAACTCCTTGAATGGGACAGGGTACCCGCGGTTTTCGGGCTTGTCGCAAGACACGCCGTTCACGCAGCCCGTGCCGACCGACCCCGCAAACAGGAGGGCGGGCGGCTGTTCCACACCCGTTCCAAGGAGTGTGAAAACGGACTCCAAGTGGTCCGTTGCCGACTGAGCTATCTCGATGCGGGCCTCAGGGTGCCCTGGAACCTCCTCGCTGTAGGCGAGGTAGAAGCGCGTAACACCCACGGCTTGTCCGTTCGAACGCACCGCCTCGTACTCCGGCCAGGGGATGAAGCACTCCTCTTTCGGGTCGTCGCAGCCGAATGAATGCAGGAAGTAGCGGGTGACATGCTCCTGAAAGAGCCAAGCTGGAGGTGATTCCACAGGGGTAAGGTCCTTCTTGATCTTAAAGGTCATCTTCGAGCCAATTTTTTCAGAAAGTGAGTCCAGGATGGTCCAGCCCGTGCGAGGGCCCATGAGGTTGGAGAGCGATCCGAGTCCAAGCTTGTCCTGGTGCCAACTGATCGTAAGATCTTCCACACGCGAATCCCCATCACACTTGAAGTCCAACTTCTGGCACGTGGGACTAAACATGCCGCATGGATTCTCGATCCACTTCCTCATGCCCAAGCGGGTGGCACACAAGAGTTGGTAAGCCGTTTTGCCCTCCCCCGAAATCTTGCTCTCGTTCGATCCTGACACTGCCGTCACATGCAGCGCAGTCCGAGCCGCATCAATGCCTGGCATGGCGGCTGGGCCTAAAAGCAAGAACGCAATCAAGGAAGAGTACCGCGAAGAAGCCATGCTGGGAACTTCGGGTTGTTGGCGAGTCGCGGGGGGTGGAAATATTTGGCAGCACAGGCAACTAAAATGCTGTTATGGCAGATCCTGACGCTACGGACATGAATAACTATATCATTACATACATGCACATATATATATGTATACATATATATACATATATATATATGAAGGCATACCCACAATACACACTTGTCGGTCTTTCGATCACTCCCAGGCATGTTTGTATGTCTGTATACCGTGTGTGTATGTTTGTCCGTATGTCTGTATGCATGTGTGTACGTATGTCTATGTGCACATGTGTATGGGATGACGCGAATATGCGTGAGAATCATCAAGCGTAAAGAGTTTCACGTATGGACGGCGGCCCGTTTTCAAAATGTGGCTCTCGCCTCAGTGCCGCGCACAATCGTCTGTGCAAGAACTTTACAGATGTAGAGCCGTCACCTTGAGCGCAGTCCGAGCCGCGTCAATGCCAGGGATAGCGGCTGGGCCTAAGAGCAAAAGCATAACCAAGGAAGAGTACCGCGAAGAAGCCATGATGGGTGCTTCGGGTTGTTAGCGAGTCGAGGTAAGTGAACAAACTTGGCAGCACGACACACGCAACTAAACTGTGGGAATGGCAGATCCTGACGCTACGGGCATGAAACACTATACAACTACAAACATGCACGCATCTAGAAACAAATAATATGCACACACGTGCCGGTCTTTCGATCACTCTGAGACATGTATGTAGGAATGTATGCATGTATGCATGTGAGTGTGTATGTATGTATGTATGTTTGTATGCATGCATGCATGCATGCATGCATGCATGTATGTATGTGTGCGTGAGTGTGTGAGCGTGTTTGTGTGTATGGATGTATGTATGTACGTATGTATGCATGCATGCATGCATGTATGTATGTATGTATGTATGTATGTATGTATGAAGGTGTGTATGTATGTGTGTATGCATGTTTGTATGCATGTATGTCTGTCTGTCTGTCTGTCTGTCTGTATGTATGTATGTATGTATGTGTGTATGTATGTATGTATAAATGTATGTATGGATGTATGTATGCATGTATGTATGTATGTATGTTTGTATGTATGTATAAATGTATGTATATATGTATGCATGTATGTATGCATGCATACATGCATGCATGTATGTATGTATGTATACATGCATGCATGTATGTATTCATGTATGTATGTATGTATGTATATATGTATGTATGTATGTATGTATGCATGTATGTATGTATGTATGTATGCGTGTATGCATGCGTGCATGTATGTATGTTTGTATGTATGTACGCGTGTATGTATGCATGTGTGTATGTATGCATGCATGTATATATGTACACTAGAACCACGCGCGCGCTTCGCGCGCGCTTAGGTTCTGTCGAGTCACAGACCCAGGAATCGTTGTGAGAAGAAATTGGTGACGCGAAGCGTCGTGGGGGCGTCCTTGGACGTCTGGGGTCTCCTGGGGCCTCTTGAGGGGCCTCCTGGGGGCCTCCTGGCGGCCTCTTGGGGCGGAAGGCTCGAGCTTGCGGTTCGTGGTCCCCCTCTGGGCCCCCTCTTGGGCCCGTCTTGGGGCCCTCTTGGGCCATCTTGGGCGCCTCTTGGGCCGTCTTGGGGCCCTCTTGGGCTGTCCTGGGGCCCTCTTGGAAGCTTCTTGGGCCGTCTTGGGGCGGTCTTGGGCGCCTCTTGGGCCGTCCTGTAACGTCGGAAAGCCCAAAAGGCGACTTTGTTGAAAATGTACGTTTTACGAAGGGAATGGGCCAACTTTTGCGTCTAGGGGCCCTCTTGGGACGCATGTTGGAGGCTTCTTGGGGCCTCTTGGGGGCGTCCTTGGACGTCTGGGGTCTCCTGGGGCCTCTTGAGGGGCCTCCTGGGGGCCTCCTGGCGGCCTCTTGGGGCGGAAGGCTCGAGCTTGCGGTTCGTGGTCCCCCTCTGGGCCCCCTCTTGGGCCCGTCTTGGGGCCCTCTTGGGCCATCTTGGGCGCCTCTTGGGCCGTCTTGGGGCCCTCTTGGGCTGTCCTGGGGCCCTCTTGGAAGCTTCTTGGGCCGTCTTGGGGCGGTCTTGGGCGCCTCTTGGGCCGTCCTGTAACGTCGGAAAGCCCAAAAGACAACTTTGTTGAAAATGTACGTTTTACGAAGGGAATGGGCCAACTTTTGCGTCTAGGGGCCCTCTTGGGACGCATGTTGGAGGCTTCTTGGGGCCTCTTGGGGGCGTCCTTGGACGTCTGGGGTCTCCTGGGGCCTCTTGAGGGGCCTCCTGGGGGCCTCCTGGCGGCCTCTTGGGGCGGAAGGCTCGAGCTTGCGGTTCGTGGTCCCCCTCTGGGCCCCCTCTTGGGCCCGTCTTGGGGCCCTCTTGGGCCATCTTGGGCGCCTCTTGGGCCGTCTTGGGGCCCTCTTGGGCTGTCCTGGGGCCCTCTTGGAAGCTTCTTGGGCCGTCTTGGGGCGGTCTTGGGCGCCTCTTGGGCCGTCCTGTAACGTCGGAAAGCCCAAAAGGCGACTTTGTTGAAAATGTACGTTTTACGAAGGGAATGGGTCAATTTTTGCGTCTAGGGGCCCTCTTGGGACGCATGTTGGAGGCTTCTTGGGGCCTCTTGGGGGCGTCCTTGGACGTCTGGGGTCTCCTGGGGCCTCTTGAGGGGCCTCCTGGGGGCCTCCTGGCGGCCTCTTGGGGCGGAAGGCTCGAGCTTGCGGTTCGTGGTCCCCCTCTGGGCCCCCTCTTGGGCCCGTCTTGGGGCCCTCTTGGGCCATCTTGGGCGCCTCTTGGGCCGTCTTGGGGCCCTCTTGGGCTGTCCTGGGGCCCTCTGGGAAGCTTCTTGGGCCGTCTTGGGGCGGTCTTGGGCGCCTCTTGGGCCGTCCTGTAACGTCGGAAAGCCCAAAAGACAACTTTGTTGAAAATGTACGTTTTACGAAGGGAATGGGCCAATTTTTGCGTCTAGGGGCCCTCTTGGGACGCATGTTGGAGGCTTCTTGGGGCCTCTTGGGGGCGTCCTTGGACGTCTGGAGGCCATCTTCAGCATCTCGGAGCCCTCTTGGAGGCCTCCTGGAAGTTTCTTGGGCCGTCTTGGGCGCTCCTGGGGCCGTCTTGTCTGACCGGGGAGGTCTCCGGCAAGCCCCGACGAGCCTCCGGGCCCCCCGGAGCCCACATTTGTGGTCGAGGTCCCGGCCCCGGGCCCCCGGACCCGGTGCGCCGTTATATGTATATTTAGAATGACGCGTCTATGTTTGACAGTCATGAGTGTACCTCTCGCCTTATCCCTCCATTGCTCACTTCCGCCCGCCATCCCTTCCTCGGCGCTAACTTCCATTACCCCTCTTCTCTCCTCTCTCGTCCCTCCTCCCCAATGTTGGCATTTATGAATGTTATGATGTTTGACTCTCTCTCTCTCTCTCTCTCTCTCTCTCTCTCCCTGTCTCTCTCGCTCTCTCTCTCTCTCTCTCTCTCTCTCTCTCTCTTTCTCTCTCTCTATATATATCGTCCTCGCTCCCTCCGTCCCTATCTATATGTTTTTTTGTTTCTCTCTCTCTCTCTCTCTCTTTCTCCCTCTCTCTCTCTCTCTACTCATATACGCATGCATGTATATGAGGGTGCCACGGGAGACCGTGCAAAAAAGGCCCCCCTTCACTACCCTCACCTCTTTCACCACCTTAGTCGGAGCCCCCCCTTCTCAAACCCTTTTTCCATGTTTCGACAGCTACCCCCCCTGTCTGGCCCCGCCATCCCCAGGGGCCAGCATCAAGGTCCAGGCGTCGACCGGAGCCGTGGTCGCGACTGGCATTTGCTCCTGCTGCGGCTGCTGCCCCTCCTCCTCCTCCTCCTCCTCCTCCTCCTCCTCCTCCTCCTCCTCCCCCTCCTCCTCCTCCTCCTCCCCCTCCTCCTCCTCCTCCTCCTCCTCCTCCTCCTCCTCCTCCTCCTCCTCTTCTTTCTCCTCCTCCTCCTCCTCCTTCTGGCCCCCCCGTCTCGCGCAGGCTGAACCCGCCCAGCCCGCCCCGACCGCCCAGCGCCCTGTCCCACCTGCGGCGGGAATCGGCCCCCAGGGGCTTGCGGGGCGGGCGGCGAGGCTCGCCCTGCCATACAGGGCACGCCCCGAGGGGCACGCAACGCCAGGCGCGCTTGCCTGGCCCGCCCCAGGCCCTCCAATGCGACCTGGGGGGCCGGGAGGTCCAGGCGCGCACGCAGGCGCAGCCCCGGCGGGCGCGAGCCCGCTGCCCCCCGCCGTGCTGGCTCACAGGCCCTCCGGGGTGGCAGCGCTCGCAGCGGGGCGGCGACAGCCCGCAGGGGGCATTCCCAACGTATTGATAATCCAATTGGTAGCCTCCTCCTCCTCCAGCTCAACCCCTCATCGCGTCTTCTCGTCCTCCTAGTTTTCGTCCTCGCCCTGATCCTCCTTTCCCCCGCCCTCCTCCCTCCTCCGTCCTCGCCTTTCCCTCCCCCGACACCCCGACACCCTTCGCCAAGCAGCAACCACCCGAGACCAGACAAGACCACTGGTCGGCAGAGCACCCCCTCTTCGTCGATGGAATTGTCGGCGAGGTCGAGTCGCTCCAGCTGGATCATTTGGTGCGCGTTCATGACCGCCTGTGGGGCAAGCCGCCGTCGTCGTGCCTGTTCATTTCTTCCTCTTCCCTCCCTCTTCCTCCTTCCTCCTTCTTCCCCTTCGACCCTCCTCATCCGCTTCCTCTCTCCTTCTCCACCCGCCCTCCCTCCGCCCTCATTCCGCGCGCACGGGCGGGGAGGAGAGTGGAGGAGCAGGTTTTTGATTTGACAAGGGACCAACCGCAAGCGTAATGGCCAGATGGCTGAACAAATCGGCCAACGACGGATATTATGTCTTACGCAACCGAATTTCGTGGGCAATATCCGAATCATCCGAGTCGCTGGCATCGGAGACGCTCGAGGAACTTATCCTAGAAGGCCGAATCAGCCTGGGAAGCACGAGGTTGAGACCTGCGGGGGAGTCCGATGGAGGAGTCCAAATCCTGTGGCGGAGTCCAATGGGGGAGCCCAAGTCCTGTGGGGGAGTCCAATGGGAGAGTCCACTGGGGAGGTCCTACGGGGGAGTCCTACTGAGGAGTCCTATGTGGGAATATTATGGAGGAGCCCCAGGAGGGAATCCCATGAGGAATTCCTGTGGGGGGATCCCCTATAAGGAACTCCCCTGGGGGGCCTGAGTGCACTCGGCCACGCAGGACTCATGCCCAAATCGAACTTGACGCCAAAGCCAGAGCTCAGTGGCCTCGCCGTCAAGATTCGCCACGCACTGAGGCAATGCCTGCTTGATCAAGCCCGCCCCTCGACAAGCGCACCACTTCGCGAGGTTAGACGCAGACCGCGCAACTCGACAAATCGCGCCAGCATGGGCCGATGCAGGCCGCAGAATGTCGGACCAAACGCTGGGCAGTCTAGCCCACTCTCCACCCAAAAGGCGACGTGCATCAGGTCGCGAAGCCCATCCATCCCACGGCGCCTGAAGCCATGTGGAGGCAGGCGCCCGCTTGCACTCGGGCGCGGCGTCGACCTGGCGACCGGCAGCCATCGGGTCGCGGGCGAGGGGCGTGCACGCGCGCCGAACAGCGCAACGTGCCCGAGCTAGCTGGCGAGCCTCAAGCAAGCGGGCGCGGCGGGCGCCACAGCCCCTCTCCCCCCCCGCCCCATCCGCCATCGCGCGCGCGCGAGCGCAGCCCGGAGCGCGCCGGGTTCGGGGCCCGTCTGGGCCGACTTGATCGCCATGCCTTCCGCCTTCTCGAGGCGCGCACGTCGAAGCCTGCGACTGCTCGCCCACCCGGGCATCCGAGCCCGAAAAACATGCCGCAGCCGATGGCCACCTCCGCCACCTATCCCAGATTCGGAACGCCCTGGTACGGGACAAAGCAGAAGAAGGATCCACCTTCTTAACTGCCCGCCCTCCCTGACTCCGGATCCGCCCTACTTTGGGGAAATTCGTAAGTAGGGTTTGGAATTTCCGCCCTACTTTTCAAGCCCCGCTGATGCCAATTTCCGCCCTACTTTTCTGCTGCTGTTTCCGCCTTACTTCTGTGGATTGTCGCCCCATTTTATGTTGGGTGCAGAAATGTCCGCCCTACTTTTTCGGCTCCTTATAGGTGGATTTCCGACGCAATTTTAAGTTGGAAAAAAAGCCACAGTAGGGCGGATCTGGAGTCAGGGCTGGGTCCTTGCGCTGGATGGCCCGGCGCCCCTTGGGCAACGACGTCGCAAGCCCGCAATCCTGGATCTTACTGGTCGGGAGGCCCCCCGCCCCCCACAGATCACGAGCCGCCCCCCATGCATGGCCGACTCTTCGAAGCCGCGCCCCGCCAATCACAATTGCCAGACCCGCGTCGAGAAACCAATCAGCGATTGCGCGCGCAGGAGAGACGGCCACGAGCCTGAACTAAGATATAGCAACGCTGCAATCGCCAACGACCGCGCGGTCGGTCGAAGCGATCTCCGTCGCAATTCTCAGACGTCGCCGTGCGATCAAAGAAGTCGGCGGCCGGGAACGGCCGCGGCGTCGCGCCGCGAAGCCGTTGCCGACGAGCGCGCTGGGCGAGCGCGCGATGGGGCGCGTGCCCGCGTGCCGCCGGCAACTCCAGCTACCTGGGACCTGGGGCTCTGCCCTTTTCCCTGGCCAGCCTTGAAACGCCGCGTCCAACCGCGCGCGTTGCATGCAGCCCCCGAATGCAGGAACCAGCGGCCTCTGTGGAGATCCGCTCCCGCGGCCCAGCCAGCATCCAGCGGGCCCACCTTGGCCGCGTCTGTATGGGGGAAGGGGCAACTCCGACGGGTCGATCGCCCCCATCTGGCGGTGGCTTAGGCAGCGGAGCAAAAGCAGCAGAGCCAAACGCTTCGGAACGCGGACGGACCGCTGCGTCTCTACACGAATGCGGGGGAAAAAAAAACAGCCACCGCGCCTGGACCCAAGAGCGAACAATGGTATCGGCGCCAAAAACGCATGGGACGAAAACGCGCGCACATTGCACGAACGAGCATCGACCTAGACTCATCGTCGGTCGGGGGCAAGCGGGTCGACTCTCTAGCGAGTATGCCAGGCCAGAAAACGAGAAGCAGCTTCTCCCGCATTGCCCAGCGGACCTTCATCGGACGACCCAATATGTAGAGCACGTCCAAAGATTGTCAACCTGGGCCCCCCCCTGGCGACCTCGTGCCCAGACGAGCCCAGCCCGGCCGATATTCATTTCTTCCTAACTCCGGCGCTCTCTCGAGCCGCGCGATGCCTGCGTTCCAGGGCCCGCTTCTGGAACTGCCAGAGAAGCTCCTTGAGCCCGCCATCCGAAGACGGATTGGCCGACGTGGTCCGCAGCCTTCGACGCGCCCAATGCTTGCATTCACCAACTTGCGCAGCATGGCCCCAGCGCGCAGCAGCCCCTCAAGATGGCGCTGGGCCCGCGCCGGGCGCCCATCCAAGTCACGACGCGTCTCACCTTCGCCTATGGCCCTGGTTTGAACGGAAGAAGGTGGGCAAACAAATGGGGCCTCGACCGCCGCGGGGGGGCCCCCCCTGCCTCGGCGCCGCGGCCGACCATCGACCGGAGCGGCGCGGGCGAAGAGGAACTCGGCGAACTCGACCAGCTCGGGCGCGATGGCGCCCAGCTGCTCAACAAAAAAATCAAAATATTGCCGCGAATCGTCCCGCGCAACGCGCCAAGGGCCACGTTCAACAGAATGGTGCACCGGGAGGGCAGATGGTCTCAGAGGGCGGGGTGTCATCGCGACCCTCGGAGAGCCTCGCGGCCGAAGAATGCCTGACGCGCGCGGCAGGGCGTGCGTTGGCCGCGCCGCCGCGCAGCATCTGGCAGCGAACCACTTCAACGCGCGAGGCGCCGAAGTAATCGCTGTAGGACCGGCGCGTGCCTTGCTGGTCATAGATCCCTCAGCCATTCAGAACCCGCCACGTGCCCCCACGAGACTGAAGATCACCTTCCAGGACAGCCGGCGGCCAATGAGCTCGAAGGACCTCTCCCATCTGCCTTGACAGCACCTCGCAGCGACGGCAGCAAACGGGCGCGCGCTGCCCGCCGGGGCGCTCCCGTCCCCGAGGCCACTACCACACCCCCGTTCGAAGCGGCTCGCGGGAGCGGGCCAGCCAAGCCCTTTGGGGCCCTAGAGCTTCGGCGCAGCCAGGCCAGCCCCTCTGCGCGCGCTACCTTCAGACCGCCCCAGTCGGGGTCGCGGGGGAAGCCTGATAATCCAGCGCAGCCTTCGTAAGAGAGCGCTCTGTGTCTCCCGTGAAAACCCCATCAGGCGATGCCCCTGCGCCGCGAAGATGCCGGGCTCGACGGCGTGAGCGAGGTCGAAGTTCGGCCCGCGGGTCAGCTTCGAGCCCGCCTCGCTGCCCATTCCCCGAGACGCGATGCTGGCGGCGCCGAACATCCAGGCATCAGGGCGAGGGCGTGCGCGAGATTTCCCGCCGCATTTTCCGAGCCAGCGCGCAGCTCGCAAGGGGGCGGGGCAGGGCCGCCCCCTCGCCGCGAGACGAGGATCAGCACATCGCAGGCTCAGCCGATGAAGTAGCTGGCCCGCCCCCTCCTGGCCAGTTTGAACCTGCGGGTGGCGAAGGGTCGCGCGACGGCGCGCGCCCGCCGCCCTGCGCGGCCGCCCCGCGGGGCCCCGGAGCGCGAGGCCTGGCCGCGACGGGGGCGGGAAATAATGTCGCCCCTTGCCGAATCTTGCTTGGGCCGTAGCACTCGCAGAACCTGAAGCTGCGGGCGTCGCCCCCGAACGCCATGCCCGCGTCGCCGAAGGAGAACAACCCTGCCGGGCACTCCCATACGTCGCCGCCGAAGAAGCACCCGAGGCCGATGTCGCCGACGAGGCGCTCCCAGCTCCGCGCTCCATTGCAGCCCAGGGGGCCGCGGCAGCCGTCGAGGTGCCCCCTCCCGTCGACTCCGAGGCAGAACGCGCCTGGGCCGCCGATGCACTGCGCCCCCCATGATGGCGCAGGCGCGGGGGCAGGCGCGGCGGAACTGCCGCGCCCTGGGCCATCCAGCGCGCAGCCCGCCGCGCCCCCCCCCCCCCCCCCCCTCCCCCCCCTCGGACTGCAGCCGCGCGGCGGCTGCGGGGGGCAGAAGTTCCGCTGAGGCATGGTGCTACCAGCTGAAGAAAGGAAAGTTGGCAAGGCTGGCCGCCCCCCAGCATCGCCGCCGCCGCCGCCAGCGCCAGGGACAGGAGCGCCAGACGCCGCGGTCGCCTCTGCAGGGGCGCCCAGTGCCGAAGACGCCTGAGGCGTTGGCGGCACTTGGCGCGCGCGAGCCTTCCTCGCTAAGGCGAATGGGTTGCGCAAGAATGCCAGCGATTGCATAGGGCCCCGCGGCGCCAGAGTCGACCGGCTTCTGTGCCTGATCACAGGCCTCATCCGCCGCCCGAGAGTCGACGTTCATGTCAGTGTCAGATCTCGGCGCCGCCTGGCTTGCAGCCGCCGCGTCCGCCGCCCCTGCCGCCCCCTTCTGCCGAGCCTCCTCACCCTTCGGAAAGTGTGCGCCAGCGGCGGACAGATCGCCCCGCCGGCATGTCTTGCACCTTGCCCAGCTCAGCAGCGTCGCCAAGGCGCGCGAGAACCTGGGAAGACTTTAGAACAAAGGCAAGAGTCGAGTAGCATGAGCCGAGCCGAAACATGCCACACTCAGCAGCATGAGCCCGCTGAAACTCATGGGGAGGTGGCCGAAGAGCGTGCCCGCAAGTCCTGTGATTGCCGACTTGCCGTCGCCTCCCACGGGGCACAGGCGGGCACGTCTGTGGATCATATTCAGCTCCACCTCCTCTACCCGACCCGATGCTGCCAAGCTTTCCTGAAATTCGGCAGGCGACGGGAGGTCAGCTTCAAGATTCACGAGCTGCTGTCTGAGTGCTGCCCCCGAAACCTCCGCCTTCTCAGTCTGCTAGCTGTAGGGCGCCAGCTTTTTCCTGTAGCGATTGCACCCTTGGCCAGGGTGAGCATCCCTCTTTTTCGTTCAGCCTGTGCCTTCCAAACATGAGCCATTGCAGCGACCGCGAGCGGATAATGTGCTTGAAAGCCCCACAAAGGCTCGACCGCGGCGACCAAGTGCTCACGCTGCACCGCAAAAGCGTTATCACAACCCTTGCCTCTGGACGATTGGCCAGCCCTCTTGTCTGAGCCAAACCAACGCTGATGCCAAGCTCACGTGCCGTCGGCGTTGTACGGATTTCTGGGACAGCCTGAACTGCCAGGCTTGCCTGTGTTGTGGCCTGCTTTGCGGACTCGTTGCCATGCCTTGCGTGCCTGCTCTTCTCATGATACAGGACAGGGAGGGCCCTTGACATTGCCACCGGCAGGAAGGTCACGAATCCCATTCCTTCAGCGATATCGTCTGCTCCATCCGACGAAGCTGTACTGGTAGCCGCACGACCCCATTGCCAGCGTACGCGTTGTGCCGACTTTGAGTTAAACGGAGCCGCGCGACCTGTAAAGGGCGGATGTACCATGCCAGAGGAATTGGTGGGAATCTCGTGCCTGGAGGAAGAGGAGGAGGAGGAAGAGGAGGAGGAGGAGGAGGAGGAGGAGGAAGAATATGAGGAACAGGACACGGAGAAACAATAGGGAGGAGGAAAAGGAAAACGAGGGTGAGGAGGAGGAGGAACTCTTCGAGAAGGAACAACAACATCGTCGAGAAGGAGAGACGGAAGGATCAGCAACATGAGGAAACGAGGACGATGAGAAGGAGGAGGATATGCATGATGATAGGGAGGAGGAGGACGATGAAGATGAACATGATGATGATGCTGATGATGATGACGATGATGATGCTGATGATGATGATTCGGATGATGATTCGGATGATGATTCGGATGATGATTCGAATGATGATGATGATGATGATGATGATGATGATGATGATGATGATGATGATGAGGATGAGGATGAGGATGATGATGATGATGAGGATGATGATGCTGATACCTATACTGATGCTGATGATGAGGATGATGCAGAGGAGGAGGTCCTCCCCTTCCTCCGCCACCTCCTCCTCTTCCCAATCCCACTCTTGCTCACGAGTCATTGTCCTCACCATTCTCATCCTCCACCTCCTCCTCCTCCTCCTCCTCCTCTTGCCACCCCCCTGCTGGCCTCCTCCCCCTCGTCTTCTTCCCTCTCTGTCGCCGCCCTCCTCCCCCCCGACGCCTGCGAGAGAACTCCCAACGAACCGCCCTGCCCTGCTCGCCCTCCCATGGCGCCTTGATCCCATGGGACGTGATGCCGTTGTTCCTCACCGGCGCAGGCGCGAGGCGGGTCCACGTCGGAATGAAGGAAGGGACCGGGAACGATGAACCGACCGCTGGGGGGGGGCGGGGGGGCGGAGGAGGAAGTGGAGCAGGACGGGAGAGGGCGGAGAACGGAGGATGGAAAGGAAGGAGGACGGCGGAGGACGGAACGGAGGAGGGACGGGAAGGTGTAGGAGGAAGGGGGAGGAGGACGTGAGTTGGGAATCGACTTTTCGATGCTGTTTCTGATTCTTCTTTTACCCCCGCAGTCTTCGGGAGGCTTCGGATCTGAGAGGGTTTAGGTGGAGGGGGCGAGAACAGAGGGAAGGGAGCCCTCCTCAGGGGTCCGTACTTCTCATCCGTGCTCCGGCCCGAGATCTCTCACCGTCCTGGTGGGCGCGCGATGTCGTCCAACAGGCGACGGTACGCATTGCCCATCGACGTTGGCCTGGCCCGTCTCGGCGGCGGCCCCGGCGGCACGGTATGCCCAGCGAGCGGACAGCACGTCGATGTGCCAGGCGGGACGAGGCGCTCGGGAGGGGCTCGGGACGTGGACGCCTGGGGGCCGCACTGCTGCGCCGAGGCGCGGCGGGCCGGGCCGGGCGGAGCGACACGCCAAGGTTGGATGCCGGACCGCAGGTCTCTCTGTGCTCGCGCTGGCCCGTGAGGAGGAGGGGGAGGAGGAGGAGGAGGAGGAGGAGGGAGGAGGAGGAGGAGGAGGAGGAGGAGGAGGAGGAGGAGGAGGAGGAGGAGGTGGAGGAGGAGGAGGAGGAGGTGGAGGAGGAGGAGGAGCGCGAGGTTAGGAGGAGCGGGAGGCGAATCAGAAGAGTGACGAAGAAGGGGATAAGTATGACGAAGATGAAATATTGGAGAGAACGGGGGACGGTGAGAAAGCGCGCCGGCGGAGGAGGAGGAAGAAACGGAATAGGATGAGGGAGGCGGAGGATGAGGAGTGTTTACTCGCCCTGCTTATAACATGGGCTGCAGATTTCTTATGACTCTTATCGATTGCCCGATCGACCGATGGAATTAGGAGGAGGACGAAGAGGCCCTAGACCACTTCAGAATCCCCAGAACGTTCCAAAACCCCCCTCGAACCCAGACCCTTCTAGAACCATTGCTATCCTCCTCCTCCTCCTCCTCCTCCTCCTCCCTCCTCCTCCTCCTCCTCCTCCTCCTCCTCCTCCTCCTCCTCTTCCATCCTCCATCCTGCAACTCCTCATAGCAGCACCGCCAGACGCGTCCGTGGGACAGGCTAGGCGTTTCGCTTGAGCATTACTTACTTACACATGATTGCCATGGAGACCGAAATTCCCAACAGCTACTCGGATGGATCATCGAGGTGGTCTTCAATATGTGGCTCACGCCTTGGCGGCGCTGT